CTGCAGGCCTCAGGGCAGCCAAAGTAGGTGCCAGTGAGGGGCCCCATCATTGCCCCGCCAGTCACCCCACAGATTGGCTCTGATTGCCAGCCAGGCCTAGTGATCCTACCCATGCATGAATTTCGTGCACTGGGGCTCTAGTATATCATAAAAGACTGAGTGAATTGCCCAAGATTACATGGCCATTGGATGAACCTAATTAACTCAGATCCCCTGACTCCTGATTTGGTGTTGTGGTTTTTTTTTTTTTTTGTTTTTTCTATATTAGGTGACTGCACACTCTCAATTATTACTTTTTCCCCCTTGATCAAGCTCTACTTTAATAAATAATAATAATTAATATCAGCTAAACTTTTATCAAGTGGTTACTGTTTGGCAGACATTGTCCTGAGCCTTGCATATGCTTCTCAAATCCCCTTTGTACCTTAGCAAAGAATGCTTTGTCCTCACTTTACAGTTTAGTGACTTGTTCATGGTCTCACCACTGCTAAGTGGTGGAACCAGAATTTAGGTGACTGCACACTCTCAATTAGCCTGACTTCTGTTTTTCAGTCAAGAAAGTTAAATAAAATGCAATCTATATTTATTGTTGAAAACAGGTGGGGATTATAGGTTAAAAGTGTTAACTAAGCCCGGCAGGTGTGGCTAAGTGGTTGAGTGTCAACCCAATAACCAGGAGGTCACAGTTTGATTCCGAGTCAGGGCACATGCCTGGGTTGCAGGCTCAATTCTCAATAGGGGGCATCCAGGATGCAGCTGAATGATGGTTCTCTCTCATCATTGATGTTTCTATTTCTTCCTCTCCCTTTATCTCTGAAATTAATAATAACTATATATATATATATATATATATATATATATATATATATATATATATATATATAGTGTCAGCAAGGATGCAAGTAGAGGAGATAAGAGAAATGGGAATGGTGAAAAGTTGGCTAGCTAGAAGAGTAAGACCTCTAGAAAAAGTACCAATTCACTTGTTCACTTATTTATTGCACATATATTTATTTATTTTTCATATGTTTTTATTAATTTCATAAAGAGGAAGGGAGAAGGCTAGAGAGGTAGAAACATCAATGATGAGGGAGAATCATTGACTGGCTTCACATTGCATGCCCCACACTGAGAATCAAGGCTACAACTCGTGCATGTACCCTGACCAGGAATCGAACTGTGATCTCTTGGTTCATGGGCTGACACTTAACCACTGATCCATACCAGCCAGCACATGTGTTATTGAATGTCTACTACCTGCCAGACACTTTCCTGGGCAATGGAGTCAGTAAGAGGAAAAGTCCAGTGGAGCCAGGACCGGTTTGGCTCAATGGATAGAGCGTCGGCTTGGAGACTGAAAGGTCCCGGGTTCGATTCCAGTCAAGGGCATGTACCTTGGTTGCGGGCATATCCCCAGTAAGGGGTGTGCAAGAGGCAGCTGATCGATGACTCTCTCTCATCGGTGTTTCTAACTCTCTATCTCTCTTCCTTCCTCTCTGTACAAAATCAATAAAATATAAATAAAAAAAAGAAAAAAAAAAAAGAAAAGAAAAGTCCAGTGGAGATTTTCAGAGGAAAAAATATGATTTCAGTTCCCAATGACTATATGGAGGGAAATAGGCAAAACACAGTGAAATACACCAACTCAAGGCTCAGTGGGAGAAAGAAGAAGCATCTAAATCTATTTTACAAAGTCTTTGCAATAGAAATACCTTTGAACTTGGCCTGTGCAAAGGCTCTGTGATGAAATGAGCTCATAGGAGAACTACAGATAGGTCATTATCATTAGAGCATTAACATTGATGGTGGTGGAAGTTAGGAAATGAAGCTGGCTAGGAATGTGGGTACCAAACCAAGAAAGTCCTTAAAAGATATGCTAAGGAGTCATTAGATTTATCCTATAAATTATGGGAAACGATTATGTATAAGGTTTATCACTTTTCCTTTGGGAGAAACAAGTTTGTTTTTTTTATTTATTTTATTTTTTTTAATCAATCTTTATTGTTCATATTATTACAAAGTTTCCTCATTTCTTCCCCCCTCCACCAGGTTCCCACCCCACCCTCCGCCCCCTTCCCCTCCCCCATTGTCCTCATCCATAGGTGCACAGTTTATGTTCAGTCTCTTCCTCCCTCCCTTTCCCCGATAGTAAATCCCTTTTCAGATAGTAAATCAGTTACTTAACATTTTCTCATATCAATAATACCTCCACATGCCCAAAGATACACTTCACACAAAAGACATTTCCAAATAGGTCAACCAACCTCATCCAGGCCCCACACAAGGCACTCACAGATCAACACCCCAGCGCTATACTAACTCAACATAACCAGATCTAAGCCTTCATCACTTGATTCAGCAGACCCTCAAGTTCCCGCAAAAGTTTCTAGCCATGTCTGAGAGGCAACCTTGGGGCGGGGGTAGGTGAGGAGTGAGCTGTTCCGGGCCTGCCTGCTCTGGGCCTGGCCTCTGTTGCTCTGGTCCGTTCCACAACCAGCTGCTCTGGGTCTGGCCACTACCACTCCCAACCTGGTTGCTCCATGCTTGGCAGCTGCTGCTCCGGGCCTGGCTGCACCTGACCCGGCTGCTCCGGGCGGGAGAAACAAGTTTTTATAATAGGTGGCATAATAATGTAAAATAATAAAGTCTCTCTTCTCAAAAAGCTTAAAAATTACTTTGGCAACAAACAAGCTAAGTGGAAATAGCACCAATTCACTTGTTTCTTGCACTATTTATGTTTATTGAATGTCAGGTAGCTTCCTCAACAGCAGAGTCAGAAGAAAAGATCCAGTATTTGAAAATCTCACAGTACTTTGTCAAAACAAAACGGAAACAAAAATTGATATATGCTGCCCTACTAAGCTTTTCAATAATCCCCATGTCTTTTCACATGTAATTCCTTCAGTTCTGGATGTCTGACCGTCTTACTGAAAAATGTCTACTTAAACTTTGAAGCTTTCTCCTCTGAGAACACTTTGGGTGTATTTACCATTTGGCAGGCATGTGCAGAACACATTAAATACATCATCTTAGCAGATTCCTTTGGTGAATTAGAAGGTCAGTTTTTATTTCCAGTTGAGAAAAAAATTATATTTTTAGGAAGATTAAGAGACATGCCCATTGCACCAGGACCCGTGCTTGGTCCAGAAGGTCGTCTGGAAAGACATCCGATCTAATTAACATATTGCACTTTTATTATTATAGACCGGGGAAATAGTTCCTTCACAAATTGTTCACAGAAATCAAATCTGTCCTGGGTGCATATTACAAAAAGTCATTTTCCCCAAATGTATAATATTCTTCTGTTTCCCTAAACAGATGCGGGGCTCCTGGTTAGCACCAGTTCATAGTTCTCTATTGGTGCTTTCTTCTTATCCTCCTACTAGGTAACTTTGAATTCCTGAAAAAAAAAAAATAATAACAACAACTCGTTAGTTGCCAAATGCATCCCAAAAGAAAAATTAATTTGTGATTATTTATTGTTATCAATATGACTAATTGGGCAACCTAAAGCTCCTCCAAGATGAATTATTCCTCAGACTTACTGTAGGGGTAAAGTAGGTTATCGTTTCTGAATGCTGAATCTGTAGGACATGACTGTTGGTAATTGACCATGATTTAAAAGACATTTGTTGAGACTTTGCTAGATGTTGGAGAGTCAGTTCTGACTCAGAGGTTCTTTCAACCTTGGCCTGGCCAGTAGATCTGAGGGCATTCAGTCACTGGCTCCCACGGAAGCTACCAAAACAACCATCAAGGACAAGCTCTTCAGTTTAATTGCCTGCACCCAATGCCCTGTGTAGCTGCTTCCTGAAGCAACCAAGAAGTCAATGGAGGTCCGGAAACCCTTTCTGAAAAGCAGGTTTTCTTGCTGGTCCTGATGGCTGATGGATTTATTCTAAAACAGCGAGGATTACAGAGTGTGTGTTCTGAGCAGCACACTCAGGGGTGCAAAGCAGTGTAAGAGCTGCCCAGCGAGGAGAGATTAAGCGCTGTGCAGACTGTGATGAGTAACAAGAGTGGGGATACTGAATAAATGTCCTGTGAACTCAGCGGCACACAGAGGACCCCCCTAGAGGCTACAAAGACAACAGGAGAAGGAGCGTGTGAAGGGTGAGTAGCAGATACTCTTGGGTGTGGATTCCAGCCCGACCTCTTACTATGAACATCTTATTATGTGGAAGCTTCATGTTCTTCATTTGCCGAAAGGAGCCTTAGCATCCTCTCATAGACATGATTATAAAGATGTAAAGTGCCCAGATGAGCACTTTGGTATCTGGAAAGGAGAAAACACTCCATAAATCCTATCAGAAAATACAATAAAGCTTAAAAAAAAAAAAAAAAAGAGAGAGACATGCCCATTGTCTGATAGCTAATAAGTAATGGAGTGATGGAACCAGAATGAACCCAGTGAGTCTGACTTTTTACTTTTGATGAGGAGGACAAAGGTGGATGAACAAACTTCAGCCCCTTTGAGAGCTGCCGACCAACAGAGTGTAGACCAACTTCCTGGGGAGGATTTCTTGCTCCTTGAATTAATTTCCCCCACATCCCTGTGGATATATTCTAATAGCAATCTACCTATGTATTTGTCTAGTTAGACTATGAATGACAAGACTTTGAATTACTTACTGCTATGTTTCTAGCACCTGTCTCAGCACTTGCACATAACAGATGCCGAATAAATTATTGAGAGATGAATAAATGCGCGTCTTCGTTCCACTCTGCCTGCTGCCGACAAACCTCAGACTGTCGCAGCGTTAGGCCCACACACTGGTAATCTTTGCTTTGCGTACTTATTTTCTGGAACAGTGGAGCTAGGGAAGAGGGGGGGAAAACTGATTCTTTTTCTATCCAATTGCCTCTGAGGAGCTGGGAAGAGAGCAATTCACACTTGATTATCTTACATCAGATAAATGAGCAGTAGCCGAATTGCTGGGAAGTCAGGAGCGGGAGCTCTCTTCAGCCTCACTAGCCAGCTTTGTCTCGGCTCAGAGGCCATGCTGCCTTCCCTGCCAGTCTTGGCTCTCAGCCTCTCCTTAACGCTGGCCTCGGGCCAGACATTCCAATTTCAAGAACATGCCTTCCTTCAGTTTCTGGGTCTAGACAAGGTGCCTTCACCTCAGAAATTCCAACCTGTGCCTTCCATCTTGAAGAAGATTTTCCACAAGCAAGAGACAGCAGCCACCATTGGAGTCTCACCAGATCTATGCTACGTAAAGGAGCTGGGAGTCCAGGGCAACATACTTCGTCTTCTCCCGGATCAAGGTAAAGATATTGGAGTGTTTCCTAGAGGGAGGGAAAAATATATATATATTTTTTTTTTTGGGGGGGGAGGGGGCTGAGAAGAAAGAAAAGAAGATGTGAAAGCTACTGAGGGGTTCATAGAAGGTCATGTGCTGGCGTTTTACGGATTTTATCTCATTTAATCCCAACAACAATCGTGAAAGGTAGGCTCAGACTGTAGAACCCGTAACCTATTCAAGAGCATACAGCTAATGTGTAAGGAAAGTCAGGATTTAAAGTAACTTCTGTTTTTTCTGAGTCAACAGCTTTGTGCTGCGGTTTAGGTGGGAAGGGTGAGGGTGCAATTAGGACTCAGTCTTCCACTCTTTATTTAGCCCACAATTTATATTATTTCCTTAGGATAAATTCTTAGAAGGGGATTGCTGCATTTAAGAGCAGTGTGTTTTTGGTGTCTTTGGTATGGCAAGCAGGGGACTAAAATTATGAGCTTAATTTGACCATGGGCCTACCTTCTCTTCTCATACCTCCCACTACTTTTGTTGGGTGGAAAAGGCTATTTTTGGCTTATGAGTACAGAGCAATAGCGTATGCCATTGTCATACTCTCTATAAGGATCTGATTGAGTGCCATTTAATAATTTGCCAAACTAACCTACCATCAAAATGACCCAGGTCAACTGTTAAAAATTTATTATCTTGCCCAGTTCCTTGCCCTTCACTCTTCCACCCAATTCTTATTCAAAGTCAGGAATAAGTGTTGTAATCTGCATTTCTATGTGGCCTCCCAAGTGGTTCAAAGGCGGCCATGAGAGGCCTAATGGTTAGTTTTACAGCAACTAGAGATTTAAATATTTATTTGTCCATGAAGCATGTGTTTGATGCTGTGTACCGGGAACAGTGTATGGCCATGAGACTACAGAGATTAAAGATACAATTTGCCCTATTAGCTTATAGAAGTGAGGCAGACAAATGACTTCCATAAGTAGATCTGTACTGAGTATTGTATTATATTACAGGCTTAGGGCCTCGGGGGTGTAGGTTCAGGGAAAATTTCTGGAGGGCTAAGAGGTAAGAGGAGCTAGTTTGAAGGGTTTTTTATTGGAGTAGGAAATAGCTGAGGTTACTTTCTTTCCCAATGGAAATTAAACTTTGATTTTTGTGATAATAAATCCTATCAAATAATGCTGTGTGTCGGGAGGAGGAGGAGGGACGACATAATCTCTATCATCTCTCCCTAACTCTTCCCCTAGAGAAAAACCAGCAGTTATATATTCTTAGACTTTTCTTTTTTGCATACATTTAATGGAAACTTGTATTCTAAAAAAAAAAGGGGGGGAGAGAGGTCATACTGTACATTCTTTTGTACAGGAACATCTCACATAAATCAAAACAAATTGTCAACTTATTTTCATTTTAATGGTTGCATGATATTCCATTGTATAGATACGCTATAATTTATGTAACTGATGCCCTGTTGATGGGCAAGGACATGTAATAAATAATATAGCTTTAGTGTGCGTACACTTTTTCTATTATTTCCTCAGGATAAATTCTTAGAAGGGGATCGTTGCATTTAAGAGCAGGCACATTTATACTTACAGTATATAGCAAATGTCCTCCAAAATTTATATCCCACCACGAGTGTAAGAGAATTCTCACTCTTCCCACAATTATTTTTACATTTAAAAATATTTTTTATTAATTTATTATTTTTTTAAAAAATCTACCGTATTTTCCTGCATATAAGAAGACTTTTGAAACGAAAAAAAGTCAACTGAAAATCAGGGGCAAAAGACCAAAATTGCACAAAAATTACCTGCAGATCTTGATGGCAAAGTAAGTCTTTTCTTTGAAGTGGGGGGTAGTCTTATACAGCGAATATAGGCCTAAACCTATGTTTTAACTGTAAAATTAAGGGGTCGTCTTATACGCCGGAAAATACGGGTAAATGTTTATTGTTGAAAGTATTAGATATGTCCCCCTCCCTCCCTTTGACCCCTTCTAGCTTGCCCACTCCTTCTCACTTTCGCATAATTGACAGCCATCCTTTTAAAAATAGGAACTTATTGCCGGTACCGGTTTGGCTCAGTGTTGGCCTGCGAACTGAAAGGTCCTGGGTTCGATTCCAGTCAAGGGCATGTACCTTGGTTTCAGGCACATCCCCAGTGGGGGGTGTGCAAGAGGCAGCTGATCAGTGATTCTCTCTCATCGATGTTTCTAACTCTCTATCCCTCTAAATTCCTCTCTGTGTAAAATCAATAAAATATATATATTTAAAAATAAATAAATAAAAATAAAAATAGGAACTTATTGCCCTGGCCAGTATGTCTCAGGTGGTTGGGTGTGCATGGGAAGGTTGCCTGTTTGATTCCCAGTCAGGGCACAAGTCTGGGTTGGGGCTCAATCCCTAGTAGGGGCATGCAGGAGGCAACCAATCAATGTTTCTCTTACACACACACACACACACACACACACACACACACACTAAAAAGAAATAAAAATAGGAACTTATTGAAGTGTAACATACATTCAGAAAAGTGCTTATATCACAGAGAACAGCTCAATGAGTTTTCACAGAAAACCAGCTCCCAGACCAAGAAACAGAATGTGACCAGTAACCAGAGGACCCTTCATTCTCCCTTCTGGTTAATCTCTACTCCACCACAAGGGTAACTTCTATTCTGATATCTAACATTACTTTTCAGTTTTGTCTGTTTTTGAACTTCATATAAATTAAATGTGGAATGTACCCTTATTTTGTGTCTGGCTTCTTTCACTCAACATATTTATGAGATTTAACCATGCTGCATTTATTTGTAGTTCATTCTCATTGCTATTTAGTATTTCATCCCAGTAACATATGACAATGTACTTATCTATGCTATATACATTGGAAGCCCACTAGATATAATTTTAGCTTTTAATTTTTGTTAACCTGGGAGCAAAACATGTTGTCATTGTTTTAATTTTTTAATATATTTTATTGATTTTGTACAGAGAAGAAGGGAGAGAGATAGAGAGCTAGAAACATCAATAAAAGAGTCATCGATCAGCTGCCTCTTGCACACCCCTACTGGGGATATGCCCGCAACCAAGGTACATGCCCTTGACCGGAATCGAACCCAGGACCCTTCAGTCCCCAAGCCGACGCTCTATCCATTGAGCCAAACCGGTTTCGGCTGTTTTAATTTTTTAATAAGGTGGAATGATGTCTTTTTATTTTTAAATTTAATTAATTAATTATTGACTTCAGAGAAAGAAATGGGGAGAGAGAGAGAGAGACACACACACATTGTTTGGCTGCCTCCTGAATGCATATAGTAGTTTTTCATTTTCATCTTTTTAAATATGTCCATTCTGGCTTTTGTCTTGTTTTGTCTTCTGATGCCTAAGGAATGTGATATGAATAAAAAAGAGGCCAATATATTAGAATTAGAGCTAAAAATAAAGAAGATCAACTGTTCAGATGGTTATTGAGCCAAACCAGTTTCAGCAAAGGATATTTTTTAAAAATATATTTTTATTGATTTCAGAGAGGAAGGGAGAGGAAAAGAGGGATAGAAACATCAATGAGAGAGAACCATTAATCAGCTGCCTCCTGCACCTGCCCCCCCCTCTCCCATAGGGATTGAGCCCTCAACCCAGGCATGCGCCCTTGACTGGAATGGAACCTAGGACCCTTCAATTCAAAGGCCAACACTCTATCCACTGAGCCAAACCAGGTAGGGCCATGGATATTTTTCCTATTGATTTTTAGAGAAAGGGAGAGTGAGAGAGAGAAACATTGATGTGAGAGAGATATATCAATAGGTTGCCTTCTGCATGTGCCCCACTGGAACAGGGGATCAAACCTGCAGCCCAGGTACATGCGCTTGACCAGGAATCAAACCTGGACCCTTCTGTTGTGGGCCAATACTCTAACCATAGAGCAACACCAGCCAGGGCTAATTTTATTAATTTTTTAATTTTATTTTTTAAATGAGACTGGAGAGTGAAGAGGCACTGTGGTGGGATGGTTAGAATGTTTGGGTTTCTGTTGTAATTTTCTCACAAAACCTGGAGGAACTTCGATAACCTTTATTTAGGGTGGAGCCACCCAACCAGAAAAAATGATGGCATTAGGCCAAAGAAGTTTTTTTCTTTCTTTCTTTTTTCTGGGGGTAGAAGGGAAGATAGAAATTGAAGATGAAAAAAAAGTAAAGAGAAAAAGTAAAAGTATACTCCATTGTGCCTTTTCCTCAAGGAATAGGTAAGATTTGAAATCCAGGCAGAGAAGTTAGTTTTGAAAATAGGGAAAATAGCTCTGGCTGGGTAGCTCAGTTAGTTAGGGCATTGTCCCAATATGCCAAGGTTGGGGGTTCAATTCCAGGTCAGGGCACATATGAGTCAACTGAAGAATACATAAATAAGTGGAACAATAAATCTCTGTCTCTCTCTCTGTCTCTCTGTCTCTCTTTCTCTTTCTCTCTCTCTCTCTTTTTAAAAAAATATATATTTTATTGATTTTATACAGAGAGGAAGAGAGAGGGATAGTTAGAAACATCGATGAGAGAGAATCATCGATCAGCTTCCTCCTGCACACCCCCTACTGGGGATGCACCCGCAACCAAGGTACATGCCCTTGACCAGAATCGAACCCGGGACCCTTCAGTCCGCAGGCCGACGCTCTATCCACTGAGCCAAACTGGTCCCGGCTCTCTCTCTCTTTTAAAAATAGGGAAAATACAACTTCAAAATATACAGAACCTCTAGCCTTGCACTTGCTTTATTAGCACATATACTCAAAATTAAAATGATACAGAGAAGCCTGGCCATTGTGGCTCAGTGATTGAGTGTCAACCTATGAACCAGGAGGTCACTCTTCAATTCCCAGTCAGGGCATATGGCTGGGTTGTGGCTCAGTCCCCAGTGTGGGGTGCGAGAAAGGTAGCTGATCAATTATTTTCTCTTATCATTGATGTTTCTGTCTCTTTCTCTCTCTCCCTCTCCCTTCCTCTCTGAAATCAATAAAAATATATTTTTTTAAAGAAATGATATAGCCAAAATCAGTTTGGCTCAGTGGATGGAGCGTCAGCCTGCAAACTGAAGGGTCCCAGGTTTGATTCCGGACAGGAGCATGTACCGTGGTTGCAGGCACATCCCCAGTGGGGGGGGGTGCAAGGGGCAGCTGATCGATGTTTCTAACTCTCCATCCCTCTCTCTTCCTCTCTGTAAAAAATCAATAAAAAATATTTTTAAAAAAAGATTCAGAGAAGATTAGATAGTCCCTATGCAAGGATGACATGCAAATTTGCAAAGTGTATCATATTTTTAAGGGGATTAAAAAGTATAAATTGCTTGGCCTGTGTGGCTTATGGTTGAGCATCAACCCATGAACCAGGAAGTCATGTTGAATTCCTGGTGAGAACACATGGCCATTTTTCAGGCTTGATCTCCAGGGGTGTGCAGGAGGCAGCTGAGCAATGATTCTCTCTCATCATTGATATTTCTCTCTCCCTCTCCTTTCCTCTTTCTGAAAGCAATTAAAAAAATATTTTAAAAAAGAAGTACAAACTGCTAGTTATAAAATTAGTCATGGGATTGTAATGTCCAGCATAGAGAATATAGTCAAAATCTACACTAATAAAAGAGTAAGATGCAAATTGACTGTACTTTCATGATGCCCACCAGCCAATCAGGATTGAGTATGCAAATTAACAAAAAGATGGCAGATTAATTTGCATACGCAGGCGCTGAGTGGCCGGAGCGCAGGCAATGCCAGCAGCCAGGGGAAGGAAGGCCCATTCTTCTTCTTCTTCTTTTTTTTTAATCAATCTTTATTGTTCATATTATTACAAAGGTTCCTCATTTCTTCCCCCTTCCACCAGGTTCCCACCCCACCCCCCATTGTCCTCATCCATAGGTGCACATTTTAAAATATATTTTATTGATTTTTCACAGAGAGGAAGAGAGAGGGATAGAGAGTTAGAAACGTCGATGAGAGAGAAACCTCAACCAGCTGCCTCCTACACACCCTCTACTGGGGATGTGCCCGCAACCAAGGTATATGCCCCTGACCAGAATCGAACCCGGGACCCTTCAGTCCGCAGGCCATTGCTCTATCCACTGAGCCAAACTGGTCTCAGAAGCCCTGGCTGGTGTTGCTCTATGGTTAGAGTATTGGCCCACAACAGAAGGGTCCATTCTTGCATGAATCTTCATACATCGGGCCTCTAGTATCATTTCATAAGGTATACAAATGTCTAATTGCTATGTTGTACACCTGAGACTAATATAATATTGTATGTCAACTAAAGTTTAAAAATATATTTAAAAAATGAGGAGTGAAATAAATAAGTCCTCCTTTTGAGTACAACTGATTATTCCCTGCGTTTACTTTTTATATGTGATATACATATAACATTTAGCATTTACATCACAGGTTGATATAAAGTAAAACATATTACGGTGACCCTCACATCTCTCTTTTCTTACATAGGTTCCTTTTTTCACTCCAAGAACCTTGCCCAAGCCTCCTCTTGCCTACAGAAGCTCCTGTACTTCAACCTGTCTGCCATTAGAGCCAATGAGCAGTTAACGATGGCCCAGCTGGGCCTGGACTTGGGGCCCAACACTTACTATAACCTGGGACCAGATTTGGAGTTAGTTCTGTCCCTGGTCCAGGAGCCTCGTGCATGGGACCGGTCCGTACCTAAACCAGGTAAAATGTTTGTGTTGCAGTCAGTACCATGGCCTCAAGGTGTCCTTCACTTCAACCTGTTGGATGTGGCTAAGGATTGGAGTAATAACCCTCAGAAGAACTTAGGCTTGTTCTTAGAGATATTGGTCAAAGGACAGAGAGACTCTGGGGTGAATTTTCAGCTTGAGGACACCTGTGCCAGACTGAGATGTTCTCTTCATGCTTCCCTGCTAGTTGTGACCCTTGACCCTGAGCAGTGCCACTATTCTTCCCGAAAAAGGAGAGCAGCCATCCCTGCCCCTAAAGTTTCTTGCAAGAACCTCTGCCATCGTCACCAGCTATTCATCAACTTCCGGGACCTGGGTTGGCACAAGTGGATCATTGCCCCCAAGGGGTTCATGGCAAATTACTGCCATGGAGATTGTCCTTTCTCATTGACCACTTCCCTCAACGGCTCCAATTACGCATTCATGCAAGCACTGATGCATGCGGTTGACCCGGCGATTCCCCAGGCTGTCTGCATTCCCACCAAGCTGTCTCCAATTTCTATGCTTTACCAGGACAATGATGACAATGTCATTCTTCGGCATTATGAAGACATGGTGGTTGATGAATGTGGGTGTGGGTAGGCTGTTCAAAATAGTAATTAGGGTAAAGCTTTTAATAAAACTACCTATCTGGTTTATGAAATGTTGGACATGAAATATCAATATGTTTATAATTTGTCTTCCTGGAAAATCTATCATGATTGATGATGTCCCAAGTTACACCCTCACACATACTCACACACAGCCTTAATTAGTATAGGAATTAAAAAAAAATTTGTTGTTAATCCTCACTCAAGGATATTTTTCCATTCATTAATTTTTTTAGAGAGAGTGGAAGGGAGGGGAAGAGACAGAGAGAGAAGCATCCAATGCGAGAGAGACACATTGATTGGTTGTCTCCCACACCTGCTGCGAACAGGGTCAGGGATTGAGCCTGCAACTGAGGTACATACCCTTGACTGGAATTAAATCTGGGACCCTTCAATCCTCAGGCCAATTGTTTGTGTGTGGACGGGGTGGGGTTGTTATTTTACCTATCATGAAATCCTTGACTTCTAAAGGACCTTCATTTATGATGTGGCACTTTTCTGTCAACTCTCACCTGCCGCTTGAAACAACTACTTCATCTTGTGGAAACTCCAGCTTGACTTTCATAGCTAAGGGAAGTTTTATATTTAGGGCTTGGATGTTATGTCCATAGTATTTGAGATTCAAAGTTCAGGGGCTCTAGATTTGAGATCCTAGCGAGAACTTTAAGTCTCGAGAGTGACCCCAATTCTGGGAGTGTGTGCTAAAACTCAGAGAGCTTGACCCAGATTTTGGACAACAGGGGACAATGGCAATAGGGAATATGTGTAGTATTCACTTTTTAGAGGAAGATAAAAAAAAAAGTAAGTGGACTTGGCCTTACATTTAGCCCTGGTTTCAAGAAGGAAGAGAGATCACTGAAGACTTGTCACCTAATTACCTGAGTCAGAAGTCAAAGTCCTTCTGATTTTTCATCTATCAGTGCCCCTCCCCTTTCCAACAAGATTTAGGGCAAAGAGCAAAGAGGAAGTTATAAATAAAATTTTCTCTTCTAGTTGTTCTTTCTCTGTACTCCCCAAGAAAGAATGATGTGTCAGTCTTGCCTTAACCTTAATTTAAAGGGAAGGGAAAGTTTTAAAAATTCATATAATATTAGGGAAAGAACTTAGTAATTCAAAGATCCTCAGGGATTTTTACCCTACAGCATTAATCATTTGTACCAAAAGCTTTCTTCTCAACCCATTGATGCTAACCTCACACCAAATTCTCTCTTAATCTGCTACCTGTTTGTACAGTCTAGACACCCAGTAAGTGCCTGAGACTCAGGAATGAGTCATTCTCTGCTCAATCAGGTGACAGCAGTCCCTCCTGAAGAAACAAGGTTAAGACATGTTGTTGACAGGAGCAATCAGCACAATTTATAGCTCCAAGGGAGAAAATCAGTGGCACACAGCACCATGGCTTCTGACAAAGGTAAAATGGATCGAGGTCCTGCAAGCTTCATAGTCTTGAAAAGGGTAGAAACTCTATGTGTGTGTGTGTGTGTGTGTGTGTGTGTGTGTGTGTGTTGCTTGTTTCCTTGGGCATTTTCCAACTTTCCTATTTATTTCTATGTTCTTTATATTTAAAAATATATAATTTCACTTTATTTGAAAATGTCTGCCTCCCTGTAGACATACTTTTTTTTTTTTTTTTTTTTTTTTTAAGGAAATTAATCTGCTGAATGGTGACTGGCTGTGCTTGGTTAAATAAGACTTGTTATAATTATTAATACTAACTATTGACATCCATAAATAATTTTAAACATATGACACTAAATCAGTGCTTGTTTCACTACAGTAAATAATTAAGGAAAATATTCAACTGTTAAATAATAATTTAAGACAACATCAGAAGCGATACCACAGGGGCATGATAATTATTTAAAGTTTAGTTAGTTGACTTTAGAAAAAATTATGGGCAAGGTAGAACACTTCAGGCTGTAGAAGAAAATAATTTTCAGATGACATGGAATTTGAGTTTGGATTCTAAAAAGGTAGAATGTAGGTTGGCAAAGAGAAGGCATTTCCAGGTTGGTTGACAGAAAGACTTTGAGGGAATTTACGAAAATTGTGTTTGTAATATATTGAGTGCACTGGTGAGACTAGGGAAGAGTTTGTGGAAATAATTTATAATGAAACTAGAGGGCAAATGTGAAGTACTATTATAGAGGGCTTTGAATGCCGGGCTAAGGAAATTGAGGTTGATCTTTTTGGTAAAAGAAAATCTCTGGAGAACTTGTGAATAGCATAAACATGATTGAAAACATGATTGCAATAATGAAATTTGATGCCTTTGGACTAGAAGCTGAAAAGACTGGAAACAAAGAGACCCATTAGAAGGCTATTTATTGCAAGAGTGTTGGCGTGATGTGATTGGAAATAATACAGATACCAGTCTTGGGAGAATTTTGCCACCCTGAGATCTTCTATGCAGCTGCCAATGCATAGAAGTAACCACTGGGCTCCAATGGAAATCTGGCTCTCTTTCATTAGTTCAATAATATTTTTCTACATGCCGTTTGACAATGCTGCCTTTTGTTTTTTTGTTTTTGTTTTTTAACTCATTACTTATGCAGATGTCTTTTCTTCTTTCTCTTGAGTTGTGCTTTGAAAATATATATGAATATTAAGCCAATGGTGTTTCAGCTTCTCTACACACTACCAATTACTCTTCCTGTCAGTTATAATTTTAATTCAGATAATCGTAACTTAAAACATAAAGCTTGCTGAAACCGGTTTGGCTCAGTGGATAGAGCGTCGGTCTGCGGACTGAAAGGTCCCAGGTTCGATTCCGGTTAAGGACATGTACATTGGTTGCGGGCATATCTCTGGTAGGGGGTGTGCAGGAGGCAACTGGTCAATGTTTCTCACTCATCAATGGTTCTAGCTTTCTATCCTTCTCCCTTCCTCTCTGTAAAAAATCAATAAAATATATTTTAAAAAATAATAAAAAAAATAAAGCTTTACGAAGTAATACAGACTCCCTGTACATTTTGCTTAGTTTCTACCAATAGTTACATTTTGCAAAACTATAGAATAATATCACTACCAGGATATTAACATTCACACAATCCATCAATTTTATTCAGATTCCTCCAATTTCATTTATGTGTGTGTTTAGCTTTATGCAATTTTGTCACCCGTATAGATTTGTACATCTACCACCACAGTCAGGTTAAAACAGCTCCAACAGCACAGACCTGTTTTATTGTCCTTTTATAGCCAAACCCTTCTATTTCCTTCTTCACCTATGCTCCTAATCCTTGATAACTATTTATCTGTCCTTACTTCTAAAATTTTGTCTTTTTAAAGTGCAACTAAAGCCCAGCCATTATGGCTCAATGATTGAGCATTGGCTTGTGAACTGGGAGTTCATGATTCTCATCCTGGCTGGTGCACATGCCTGGATTTGGGCCTTGATCCCCAGTGTGGGGTTTGTGGGAGGAGGCTGATCAATGATTCTCTCTCATCATTAATTTTTTTTTTAGTTTTAAATTGCTTATTGTTTAAAGTATTACATATGTCTCATTTTCTCCCCATTGACCTCCCCCAGCCGCTCCAATCCCCCAGCACATGCCCTAACTGCCCCCCACTGTCTGTGCCCATTGGTTATGTTCATATGCATGCATTGGGTTGATCTCTTACCCTCTCTCTCCCTGCTTTGCATTATAGGTTAGACAGTTTGTTCAATGCTTCTATATCATTGGTGTTTTTATCTCCCTCCCTTTCCTTTCCTCTCTGAAATCAATAAAAATGTATTTTAAAAGTACAACTCAATTTGTATATGTTACTTGACATACTCATCTCTTGGTCAACAGGTTGTTCAGCTGGTGATCCCACCTTGAGGTAAGAATAATACTGTCAGCCCTGGCCCAGTAGCTGTTAGTTAGAGCATCACCCCAGTATGCCGAGGTTATGGGTTTGCTACCCAGTCAGGGCACATATAAGGATCAGTCAATTAATGCATAAATAAGTGGAACAACGAATCTCTCTCTTCCTTCCCCTCTCACTAAAAGTTAATTTTAAAAAATTAAAAGAATAATACTGTCATATTGTGCATTTAAAAATTTTTTAAAATACATCTTTATTGTTCAGATTATTACAGGTGTTCCTCTTTCCGCCCCCCCCCCCCCCCATAGCTCCCCTCCACTCGATTCCCCACCCCACCCCATGCCCTTACCTCCCACTACTGTCTTCATCCATAGGTGTAAGATTTTTGTCCAATCTCTTCCCACACTCCTCAGATCTACCTCCTGAGAATTGTCAGTCCACTTCCTTTCTATGTTCCTGATTCCATTATATTCATCAGTCCATTCTGTTCTTCAGACTTTTTTATTCACATATTGTGCATTTAATCCAACCAAGAATAAGTGGGTATTTAAGAGCTGGAGGACTATAGTTAACCTTATTGTCCTTTCCTCTTTTACCATGTTCCCATTCTTTTTTTCCCCCTTTTCCAACTTTATTCTCTATGATTATTGCTTTCTTTGTCTTTGTTTTTGTCTTTTGGTTTCTGTTGAAATAAATGACCTTCCAGCTTTGTTCTGCTATTGTCTAACCAATGCTCTTTTCTCTTTAGATCACATGTTTTTATAGTCATTAGTGAAAGGTCCAAGGAACTGATTTGTCACTTTCATTTCTATTCCTGTTTTATATTATATGCCCATTTTCCAGACATATCATTATACCAGGGGGCCTTTGGTCAAGGAATATATTAGCGTATGATGTGGGAGGACTTATTTATGTAATAAATTAATATGATACTTTAGGGGTGAATGAGAAATATTAGAGTGTAACAAGCTTATTGGAAAGGAGGGGCCTCAGCACAACCCTGAGTTTCCTAAGTCATCGCTTTGACACACAGAGGTGCCATTGACAACAAGTTGAATTTCTTTTTTATGAGGGATTAGTATATAGAATTTAATGTGGAAGAATCCTGAGGCTAAATTGCTCTCTTCTTAGGCTTGGCAATAGAATTTTATTGATTTGAGGAGTCTACACCTGAGAAAATCCAGTTGGAGTTCATTGAGGAATAGAAAATATTAACAAGTGGAACATGGCACCCCTAAGAGTGAGATAGAAACATTAGAACATAAGGAGAAAAAGGATACATTTATACCTGAATTCAAAACTAATAAGCAATGGTGTAAAGAGAGTGGTAACCAAATAACATGAGTTGGGGAAAATATCTTTACTGTGTTTGTGACAGAAACTCTGATAATTCAAGCAGACTTCCCCAAATAGCTTTTAGATATAGAGAGGAAAAAAAGTGTCCTCAGATCATGTTTTAGATTTGCCTTATAGAAGAAGTGTTTTTAAAAGGATTTTAAAATTTCCTCTAAAAGTTTTATGACAATATTTTAGGAGAAGAATCGAACCCTGGGAATTTGAAGCCATCTTTGACCCCAGAGAGCTCCGTAAAGAGGCCTGCCTGCTCTATGAAATCAAATGGGGCACGTGTCCCAAGATCTGGCGACACTCAGGCAAAAACACCACCAAGCACGTTGAAGTCAATTTTATAGAAAAAATTACTTCAGAAAGACAATTTTGCTCCTCCACCAGCTGCTCCATCATCTGGTTCTTATCCTGGAGTCCCTGCTGGGAATGCTCCAAGGCCATTACAGAATTTTTGCGTCAACAACCTGGTGTGACTTTAGTTATTTATGCAGCCCGGCTTTTTCACCACAAGGATGAACAAAACCGACAAGGACTCAGGGACCTCATTAAGAGTGGTGTGACTATCCAGATCATGACAACCCCAGGTAAAAACAATAAACCAAGAACCTTAAGTGTTTATGAGAGACTGTGCTGGTGGCCAGGAGATTGATTATCCTAGAGTAGAAGTCTCAGAAGTAAAAGTTCAAAATAATGTAGAGAACACCAGGTCTGCAATTGATAGCAGGGAAAGTATATATATAAAAAAAAAATGACTGTTTTCTACTTTACCATTATGGCCTCTCAGCCATCTTAGAATGAACTGCTTTGTTCTTTTTAGGGGTTCAGGGAGAGTCTAGTCCATCTGAAGTAGTAAATAGGCCAGAGGGCTTTAGATATGACTATATATATATATATATATATATATATATATATATATATATATCACACACACACACACACACACACACACACTAGGAGCCAAGTGCATGAATTTATGCATCTTGAAAGGAACTGTGGGCCATGAGGCTGCAGTAGGCACAGGGGAGGGTCTCAATCCATCCTCTGCGCCCCACCCAGCTCCTGCCACCACAGCCCCCGGTGTCCTGTCTGCTGGTAACCCCGCTCCTGCTGTCCCTGCTCCTATGTGCTGATGGCGCTTGTCCTACTTGCACCTGCTAATGGTGCCAAGTGATTGGGACTGGTGCTGGGAACCAGGAGCCAGTGTGAGCAGCAGCTCTGGCACTGACAGCAGATGCAAGCACCGGGCAGGACCACGGCATATGGGAGCAAAGAATTTTCAGTAACTACCAGAGGCTCACCCTGATGACAGCGACTGGCACCCCACCTTGGTCTGGTGCCCCCACTCATCTGCTCCACCATACTGCCACATCTAACACCCACCATGTTCCATGCATACCCCCTGGTGATCAGCCCATGTCATAGTGACTGGCTGTTTGTTGTTTTGATTGTTCTGCCATTCGGTCTATTTGCATATTATCCTTTTATTATATAGGATATATAGTGAACCCTCCCCCCAAAAAAATGTATACACACTTAACAGCTGCTCAATTGATGTTTCTTTTTTTTCAGATTTAACCCATTGGAATTAATAATTATTGAAAGTGTATGTACATTTATTTACTAGTAAGTTCAACTTTCTTTAAGTAATTTTTTTGTATTTGTTGAATGATTTGTGTTTCCTTAGAGTATGATTATTGCTGGAGGAATTTTGTCAACTACCCACCTGGGAAAGACACTCACTGCCCAATATATCCCCCTCTGTGGATGAAGCTATATGCACTGGAACTCCACTGCATAATTTTAGTAAGTTATGTTAAGAGATAAAGATTCTTGTGCAAACAAACAAACAAACAAAAAAATCCATCCTTCTTCAAACTTCTTTCTAAATAATTTTGACATGTACTCTCCTCACCATTTGTCATTTATATTAGTTATTTAACTACTTGAACTATTTTAAGATAATGAAAGACGATATCTTTGTGGAAAATAAGTAGGAAAGGGACATGGATAAACTGGTCTAATATATGTGGCCTCCTATTAATCAGATGTTATTATTACTACAACACATATTGGCTTTACAAAATTGCAGATATTCTCCTTTACCATATTGGTGTGTGTCATTCTATTGGAGAAATGTTTTCCATTTGTATTCTCTCGAGAATAGTTCAATGGTCTATTAACTGGTGCTATAAAATTTTCGTTGTAATAATAGAATTAAGAAAAATATGATCTTACCATTTTATTTTACTTTGTATATTTCAGAGACTTCCTCCCTGTTTAATGATTTCAAGAAGATGTCAGAAACAGCTTACAAGTTACAGGCTTAATCTTCAAATGTGCCACTACCAAAATATTCCACACCATATCCTTTTAGCTACAGCATGGATATAACTTCTTGTGACTTGGAGATGAATAGGATAATTCTTTGCAGGCAATGATGATTCACTAGTGATTCTCATTATTTAGAATCTAGAAATGTTTAGTTTCTGTAACTATAAATTTACAAACCATAAATTATCTAAAATTAAAGGACTATCCCATTTACAATAGCATAAAAATACATAGGAATAAATTTAACCAAGAAGGTAAGAACTGAAAACTATAAAATATTGATAAAGAAATTGAAGAAGACACAAATAAATGAAAGGGATATCCCATGTTCATGGATTCAAATAACTACATAATATTATAAAACGTCCATACTACCAAAAACCATCTATAGATTCAATGCAACTCTATCAAGATTCCAATGGAATTAAAAAAAAAATTTCTAAAATTCATATGGAACCACAAAAGACCTGAATAGTCAAAGCAGTCCTGAAAAAAAAAAAAAAAAAAAAAAAAAAAAAGGAACAAAGTTGGCGGCATTACAAGTCCTGATTTCAAACTATATTACAAAGCTATCATAATTAAAGAGTATGGTATTGGCATGAAAACAGAGACCAGTGGAACAGAATAGAGTCCAGAAATAGACACACATATATATGTGGTTAATTAATATTTGTCAAGGAAATCAGGAATACAAGAGAGAAAAGGAAGTTCCTTCAGTAAATGATAATCACAAAAGAATGAAATGGGACCTACACACACACACACACACACACACACACACACACACATACACACACACACAGACACACACACACACACACACACACAAAGGTTATTATTTTGCTCACACTGCAGTCTAATGCAAGTTGGGTGGGAATGTCATTGAGGGACCCCAATTCCTTTCATCTGGTGACTCCATCTTTCCTATAGCCTTGGGGTCCTCTACTGAATTCTCTACATTTCATTTATCCAGCACACAGAAGGGGGAGAGAGAGTTGGATAGTTCCTGCTGCCTTATCTTCCATGTCACTGATCTGTTCTTTTGCCTTTGATTTCTTTTGTGTATTTTTCATTTTATTTATTGTAATCATCAGTTTTGATTTTTATTTATTTTTATTTTTAAAATACTTTTGAATTTTTACAATCATGTATTTGAACTCTAGCTATCAAATACATGAAATACATGATTTGGCTCAGTGAAATAGCGTCACCTGAGGACTGAAGGGTCCCAGTTTCAGTTCTGGTCAAGGGCACATACCTTGGTTACAATCGATGTATCTCTCTCACATTGACGTTTCTCTCTCTGTTTTTTTTCCCCTTCCTTCCACCCTCTCTAAAAAACAAGCAAACAGACAAACAAGGAAGCTTAAATAATAAAAATGTGTTTGAGCCAGCCCTGGCTTGTGTTGCTCAATGGTTAGAGCATTGGCTTGTGCACATACCTAGAAAATAGGACCTGCTAGCTCTCTGGAAATCCCAGACCTTTTAGCCAATTGTGCCCTGTTTTTCATGTTGCTGCTTCTAATATTTTATAAAATATCCTTCAGGAAAGGTGTTCCACTGATTATAAGGCACTATACTCCCCAATTTATAAATTATCCCACAGTCCCCACCCCCCCCAACAAAAAAAAAATAAAGGACATCAAAGTTGTTACTAAATTGTCTTATTTTTGTCTTTGATAATGCTTAGACTTTTCTCTCTTCCAGAGTATAAATATATTCACCAATTTCCATCTCCTCACACTCAAGGTGGGAAGAGTAAGGTGATGGAGAAATTGAGTAGATTCTCTATAGTTCATGGTTATATGGGCCTATTTGCAATGGTGGTTATGAGTTTATTGTGGTCTTGCATTTATAGTCATTAATTTGCCCTCTTGTGTGTCCTTCTTCAGTTGTACTAAGACGATAAGGTGTAGGCATGGAGAATGCTGATGGTTAGGGTTAGCCAGGTTTAAAACTTTGTAAGGGAAGCAATAAAAAGAATGAGAAGGGGTAAAAAGCTTCAGATTAGTATGCCTCTGAGATGGATTTAAAAAAAAAAAAAAAAAAAAAAAAAAGGAGAGGGCTGTTGGATTGGGAAAAAGTCAGAAAGGCAATGAGCTGGAAATCTTGATAAGATCATTAAATAGGTGCAGTGGCTATATTCAAACAATCCAGCTTGAAGACTAGTATGTTACAGTCAGAAACAGAATGGATTAACTATTTTGAAAGCAAAATAGCTTTAAATATTATAGTAACATCACCGAGAATCTAGTTGAGTTAGAATCGAAAAGTAGAAAGGAAGAGGCCAAGGAACTAAGAGGTAAGCCCATTCGTTGGTCTTCTTTTTAAGAATTTTCATGCTTCTTGAACTTTAGGATAATTTTGTGGAGTTTCCAAATATCTATCAGAACTTTCAAAATGTCATTGATGAAACTCTATATGCCAGATAAAGGTAACCCTCCCTTTTCTTTCCAATTATCTCTTACTCTGGTGTGCCCATTTCTTTCCAGCTAAGGTTTTTATAATAAGAGTGCATACTCATTATTCAATTTCCTTATCTTCTGCTCCTCAGCTCTTTGGAAAACTTTTAAAGACACTGATGGGGTCTCTTCAATCTTTATCTTCCTATACCTACTGGTAGTATTGATGTATTTGACCACGTCATTCTTGGAATTCTTAGTCGTCAGTGACACATTATCTCCTGGATCCCTTCCTCTCAGTTTTCTTCTTAGGTTTCTCTTACTCTTTTCTACTCCTAAAATATCAGTGTATTTAACAAGATTATCACCTCTCAGTCACTTTTTAAGGATTGAATAAAACCAATCTGGGGATAGAGCCATGGATAAAACAGAGCCTATCTTTGCTTTCATGGTGCTTAAATACCAGCGTTTTCACGCTGTATAAACACACTCCCCAGGAGACCTCATCCATTTCCATGGCTTCAACTACTACCTGTAATCAGGAGTGATAGTCATCAACAACTGCTAGTACCCAAGGACTAACAAAATCAGAAAAAGGCATCAACTAATCATGTAACCAGTCTGGCTGCACTCCATTGGACTGTTTGAATACCAGCACAGCCTATTCTGTATGCATACTATAAGATAATATGACTTCTGGTGGTGAAGAGAACAGACTGACACATTCTTTTTTTAATTTATTTCTTTGTTGACTAAGGTATCACATATTTGTCCTCTACCCTCCATTTCAATCCCCCACCCCCCACCCCACCTTTACCCCCACCCCCCTATTGTCCTTGACCACTGGTTAGGCTCATATGTGTGCACATAAGTCCTTTGGTTGATCTCTCCCTTTTATCCCCACCTTCCCTTTGAGGTCCAACAGTCTGACCCATGGCTCCTTATCTCTGGGTCTGTTCTTGTTCATCAGCCTATGTTGTTCACCATTTCCCCTAGATAAGTGAGATCATGTCCTACTGGAAATATACTTATAAGAATAAAAAATGAAACAAGCAATAATCATTATGCTGAAAGGTATATGAATCAGTCTATAAAGAATTTCTTTCTGGGCAGAAAAATTCTTTACTTTCTGCTCTCTGACCTGGGGTGAGCTACTTCATGTGTTTGTGCTTCTGTTCCCTCCTCTAAAAATGGGGATAATAAAGTACTTTAGCATAGGGTTGTTATGAGAATCTAATGAGATAATACATATAAGTATAGAATATGCTAAGCATTCAATAAATGATAGCTATTCATTATTCTACAGCTCTGTCTCTAGACCTGACTTTTTTTCTTTCCAAAGTTACAGATTAAGTGGTTTTTCCTTCAAATATACCACAGGAGCTTGGGAAACCTACAAGGCTCAGTATAAATTTGGAGGAGCATCCTTATAAACAAATAGGGACATTTTAAATTTATTTGGATGGAGAGAAAGAATAAAAACAGGAAACATATATGATATTACTCATTATATACTCTGTTAGAAGTGGTTCATATATGTGAATTAATTTCATCTAAACTGCTCCACCAAGTGAATACTATCATTATCCTCACTTTACAAATGAGAAAACAGAGGCACAAGAAGGTTCAAATGATTTGAGCCAAGTCATGTAGCTACAAGTTTTAAACCATTTTGAATCCAGAGTTTAAGCTTCTTGTCACACCACTGTATCGTCTCTCCCAAAAGAAAGCATTAGTTTGTAACAAAAAGAGCATTTTAAAGAAATTATTTACTTAGTTATTGATTTAAAGAGAGCGAGAAAGGGAAGGAGAAACATCCATTTATTGTTCTGCTTATTTAAGCATTTATCAGATGATTCTTGTATGTGCCATAACAGGGGACTGAACCCACAACCTTGGTGTATTAGGATGACGCTCTAACCGACTGAGTTACCTGGCCAGGGGAAAAAAGAATATTTCTTACAGTTTTCTTTATATATTAGGTCTATTTCCCTCCATATTTTACAATTTGCAAATATCCTCTGGAGGAAACAAGCTGTGGATCCTCATTCTAGTATTTAATGTTACAATCATCCTTTCCTTATACTTGAGATCAATCCCCTAATGCTGACTTATTTTCTCATCTAATATTTTAAAACATCTGACCTTTCACCATGAAAGATATCTTTTTCACTCTAAATTAAAGTGAGTTTTCTGTGTGCTTGGACAGCCTTGCTGTATTGCCTAGTGAAATTGTCACTACAGAGTAAATAGGACCATGGGAATCAAAGATAAAGCTGGAGACAGAGGAACAAACAAATGTAAGTTAACAAACTCCTTGTCCCAGAACTCAGAGTGAAAACACAGATGTGTCTACCAGTCTACAGGCCTGGATGATGAGTTGTGACCTGTCCACAATCTATTTTGGATGCTATTTGTGTTTCTAGAGCTAAAGATAGTCACTTCGCTTCAATGAGATCCTAAACTTACTGAGAATTGGCTTCCTTTGAAATGCCAAGGCAGTGTTTATCAAACTGTGTTTCTTAAATTATCAGGAAAAATAACAGTCTTTCATGTAAGACTCCATTGGAGCATCTTGAATAACTGCTTTATAACCAAGACTAACCCATGTTAGGAGAAGCCTGAATGAAAGCACCAGGCCCTGTGCCAAAAAAAAAA